GTTAGCAAAAATAGATAAGATCTTGCTACCTTGGAAAGGTAAATACCTGTCAATTTGTGGAAAAATCACCCTGATTAACTCTTTAGTATTATCCCAGTTTACCTATTTGCTTATGGTCTTGCCTACGCCTAGCTAACAGTTTTTTAAATTATATGAGAAAAAAATATTCCCTTTTATTTGGAACAGCAAGCCAGACAAAATTAAACGGGCCTATTTATATAATGAATATGAATTTGGAGGACAGAAATTATTAAATATTAAAGCATTAGACCTATCACTAAAAGCTTCAGTCATACAAAAGTTATACTTAAATCCGAACTGGTTCTCTAGCAAATTAGTAAGATTGTCTCACCCAATGTTCAAGAATGTCCTTTTTCCCTTTATTCAGATTACAACCACTCACTTTCAGCTATTTGAAAAGGAAATCATCTCCCAAATATCACTATTTCTAAAACAAGCATAGAAAGTTGGTTGCAATTTCAATTTAATCCTCCAGAAACGACAGAACAAATAAAGCAACACATATTGTGGTTAAACTCAAATATACTAATTGACAAAAAAACTTTTTTTTTAAACAAAATTTATTAAAAAAGGTATAATCTTCGTAAATGATATCATTGGTAGGACTGGCGGAGTTATGTCGCACATGCAGCTAACAAAAACATATGGAAATGTCTGCTCTACCCAAAATTACAACCAAATAATTGCAGCCTTACCGCAAAAATGGAAGAGGAAAGTGGAAGGGGGAGAAAGTAAGGAACTTGTCTGTCGGCCTTGCATTAAAGAACATAATTGGTTAAGGAAAACTGTGATAAATAAAAAAGTATATCAGTTTCATTTAAGGACCAAAGGATTGACAGCCGTCCCATATAGATTGCAAAATAGTTGGGAAGAGATTTTTGACGTACCGATCCCATGGCATAGTGTTTATGAACTGATACGCAAAACGACACCGGATTCAAAAATTAGAATCTTTCAATTGAAATTATTATATAAATTCTTGCTACCAATATAATGTTATTTATATGGGGGATACAATCTTCCCAGCTCTGCAGATTTTGCTGCGAAGAGACAGAATCATTAGATCATTTGTTTTGGTACTGTCCATTTGTAGCTTGTTTTTGGACACAGGTCCAGGAATGGCTAAAGGATTGCAATATTTACCTGGAGCTAACCTTGCAGATAGCATTACTGGGTGATCTGAAAAGTCATAGTCAATCGATCAATAATATAATAATACTTTTAGCAAAAATGTTTATTTTTAATTCAGAATCTGTAGAAACAATGAGAATAGAAAGGTTCAGAATTTTTGTAAAACATCACAGTACAGTTGAAATATATGTGGCAAATAGAAATCCTATATGGATGGTGTTAAGAGATAGATGGGAGGTGTTGAATGGAGCTGAAGGATGGGACTAATAACAACTAGCAACAAAATAATAACAAGATAACTAATAATGTAAGCATACTGTGTCCATAATAAGTATGTAGGTTGTATGTTTGGAGCTTTTGGGAAAGAGCACAGTAAGAAAGATATGGCATATAGAAGCAAACCGGATGGACATCATGAAAATGATCGGAGAGGTTGAGAGTAGAAGATGTTCAGGAGAAAAAATATATATATATATAATTATTGTAAAATTGACTGTGTCCATAAAATGTAGATAGTAAGTATAAGCTGGAAGTAGAGGCCTAAGCATTGTTGTTCACTAGTTTACCCCAAGTAGGGAAAGGGTGGTGGGGTTGGAATGTAATAAAGGGGAATATATAAAAAACATGGAGGATTGGAAGTGATGCAGACAATTACATTGATGGAAGTTACAATCTATCTGCAATATTAAACTGATCTACCCCCCCCCCCCCACCCCCAAAAAATTAAAATAAATAAAATAAAGACAGCAACAGAAGAGGGTAGACAAGAGAGACAGCAACAGATAATACTCAGAGACAGCAACATATACTACTAAGAGCAACAGAAGAGGGCTGACAAGAGAGACAGCAACAGATAATACTAAGAGACAGCAACAGATAATACTAAGAGCAACAGAAGAGGGTAGACAAGAGAGACAGCAACAGATAATACTAAGACAGCAACAGAAGAGGGTACACAAAAGAGACAGCAACAGATAATACTAAGACAGCAACCGAAGAGGGTAGACAAGAGAGACAGCAACAGATAATACTAAGAGACAGCAACAGATAATACTAAGAGACAGCAACAGATACTACTAAGAGACAGCAACATATAATACTAAGAGCAACAGAAGAGGGCTGACAAGAGAGACAGCAACAGATAATACTAAGAGACAGCAACAGATTATACTAAGAGACAGCAACAGATTATACTAAGAGACAGCAACAGATTATGCTAAAATCAACAGAAGAGGGTAGACAAGAGAGACAGCAACATATAATACTAAGATCAACAGAAGAGGGTAGACAAGAGAGACAGCAACAGCTGACACAGAGAAGGGGATGGAGAGAGGTAGAGGAGGGGTGAGCACAGTAGACTGTATCACTCAAAGCTTACTGTGGTGTCTCTGAGTGAGTGAGTGAGTGAGTGAGTGAGTGAGTGAGTGAGTGAGTGAGTGAGTGAGTGAGTGTGAGAGTGAGAGAGAGAGTGTGTGTTTGGGTACTGTGGGATCCTTTAATCAGTTTCGTCAAAGAATCCTCCATTTGCAGCAATTATAGCCTTGCAGACTTTTGGCATTCTAGTTGTCAATTTGTTGAGGTAATCTGAAGAGATTTCACCCCATGCTTCCTGAAGCACCTCCCACAAGTTGGATTGGCTTGATGGGCACTTCTTACGTACCATATGGTCAAGCTGCTCCCAGAACAGCTCAATAGGGTTGAGATACGGTGACTGTGCTGGCCACTCCATTATAGACAGAATATCAGCTGACTGTTTCTACCCTAAATAGTTCTTGCATAGTTTGGAGCTGTGCTTTGGGTCATTGTCCTGTTGTAGGAGGAATTTGGCTCCAATCAAGCGCCGTCCACAGGGTATGGCATGGCGTTGCAAAATGGAGGGATAGCCTTCCTTCTTCAAGATCCCTTTTACCCTGTACAAATCTCCCACTTTACCACCACCAAAGCACCCCCAGACCATCACATTGCATCCACCATGCTTGACAGATGGCATCAAGCACTCCGCCAGCATCTTTTCATTTGGTCTGCGTCTCACAAATGTTCCTCTTTGTGATCCGAAAACCTCAAACTTCGATTCGTCTGTCCATAACACTTTTTTCCAATCTTCCTCTGTCCAGTGTCTGTGTTCTTTTGCCCATCTTAATCTTTTAGTTTTATTGGCCAGTCTGAGATATGGCTTTTTCTTTGCAACTCTGCATAGAAGGTCAGCATCCCGGAGTGGCCTCTTCACTGTTGACGTTGTGACTGGTGTTTTGTGGGTACTATTTAGTTGAGCACCTGTGATGCGTCTGTTACTCACACTAGACACTCTATTGTATTTGTCCTCTTGCTCAGTTGTGCACTGGGGCCTCCCACTCCTCTTTCTATTCTGGTTAGAGCCAGTTTGTGCTATTATATGAAGGGAGTAGTACACAGCGTTGTACGAGATCTTCAGTTTCTTGGCAATTTCTCGCATGGAATAGCCTTCATTTCTCAGAACAAGAATAGACTGACAGAGTTTCAGAAGAAAGTTATTTGTTTCTGGCCATTTTGAGCCTGTAATCGAACCCACAATTTCTGATGCTCCAGATACTCAACTAGTCTCAAGAAGGCTAGTTGTATTGCTTCTTTAATCAGCACAACAGTTTTCAGCTGTGCTAACATAATTGTAAAGGGTTTTCTAATGATCAATTAGCCTTTTAAAATGATTAGCTTGGAATAGCAAACACAACGTGCCATTGGAACACAGGACTGATGGTTGCTGATAATGGGCCTCTGTACGCCTATGTAGATATTCCATTAAAAATCAGCCGTTTCCAGCTACAATAGCCATTTACAACATTAACAATGTCTACACTGTATTTCTGATCAATTTTATGTTATCTTAATGGACAAAAAAATTGCTTTTCTTTCGAAAACAAGGACATTTCTTAGTGACCCCAAACTTTTGTTACAGAGTAGAGATTGTTCCAGATTAGAGAGACCCACAGTACTAACTGTATTCGAATACTGGCAGTGTCTGCTGTGGCAGGTGGGAAGGTGACATTACTTTTTTTTTTTGCAGGTGGAGGATGCACCCGGACCCCCTTACTGGCTTTGGGCTATGCCCCAAATGTCTTCAATCCCTAAAAAAGCCCCGGGTGTGAAAAATATATTTTGATATGTTGGCAACAGACATCTTCAACCCACACTTTCATATGAATCTACAATCGATTATTATTTCCAAAATAATGTACAGGATTGATCAGAATTGGCCTATGTTGGTGACATGACTTCTTCTTCCTTTATGGATTAGGAGTACAGTGCTTTGTGTGATGTACTGAGTGGTGTGCGGGATAAATTGCTTCCGTGTACATTTCCTGTAAATTTATAAGCAATAAATGTCGTCTTTTTGCTCCAGTAAGGGAACGTTCGATGTAGATTGTCCCACTACTCGACCCGTTGGTTTGTTTCCGGAAGTTCCATTGTTTTTGTGGACAGTTTTTGTGTTGACTTGCTTGCAAAGTAAGTACGGAGCCAACTACCATAGCCTTGCTTTCTCTCACCGAGCCAACTACCATAGCCTTGCTTTCTCTCAATACCTCTGGTATTTATATTTATTCGAATACTCTCATATACAGTAAATGCTATATCTTATATCGCGAAATGATAAAAAAATGCATTAGGTAGAGACCACAACTTCCAACAGAAGTACTGTCAGTATCTAGCCTGCTAACACAGACAACAGTGGTTTAGTTACCAGTATCTTTGCTGCTAACGTTAGCTAGCTAGCTTTCTATCCTTTTGATAGACTGGATCGTAACACTGACCCACCTGAACAAAAGTAGCTAAACGTTACGATCTCTTAACTAGCTACTCGTAGACAGTTTGCCATGATGTCCGCAACCATCATAACTTTCCAGTCTCAGCTCTCCGGAGTCATGGAGACGGTCCTTAAGTCAGCCATGTACGAGATCACCAGGCTGGTGGAGGACAGTTTCCTGGAGGAGGTGTCCCGGAGCCGGGAGCAGATCGAGTCGCTGAAGAAGCGGCTGCAGTGGTCAGAGAACAGACTCCGGGAGAGGGACAGAGAGGGAGGCCAGAGGGGGAAGTGTGCGGACTTTGGGAGCGCTGGCGAGGAAGGTGAAGAGAGAAACTCTGGAACTTCACAGACTGGTGAGGAGAGAGACATCTAAAGACAAATACATATATATATACAGTTGAAGTCGGAAGTTTACATACACCTTAGCCAAATACATTTCAACTCCGTTTTTTACAATTCCTGAAATTTAATCCTAGTAAAAATTCCCTGTCTTAGGTCAGTTAGGATCACCACTTTATTTTAAGAATGTGAAATGTCAGAATAATAGTAGAGAGAATTATTTATTTCAGCTTTTATTTCTTTCATCACATTCCCAGTGGGTCAGAAGTTTACATACAGTCAATTAGTATTTGGTAGCATTGCCTTTAAATTGTTTAACTTGGGTCAAACATTTCGGGTAGCCTTCCACAAGCTTCCCACAATAAGTTGGGTGAATTTTGGCCCATTCCTCTTGACAGAGCTGGTGTAGCTGAGTCAGGTTTGTAGACCTCTTTGATCGCACACGCTTTTTCAGTTATGCCAACAAATGTTCTATAGGTTTGAGGTCAGGGCTTTGTGATGGCCACTCCAATACCTTGACTTTGTTGTCCTTAAACCATTTTGCCACAACTTTGGAAGTATGCTTGGGGTCATTGTCCATTTGGAAGACCCATTTGCGACCAAGCTTTAACTTCCTGACTGATGTCTTGAGATGTTGCTTCAATAATTTTCCTTCCTCATGACGCCATCTATTTTGTGAAGTGCACCAGTCCCTCCTGCAGTAAAGCACCCCCACAGCATGATAATAATAATAATAATAATAATAATAATAATAATATAATATGCCATTTAGCAGACGCTTTTATCCAAAGCGACTTACAGTAATGCGTGCATACATAATTTTTTGTGTATGGGTGGTCCCGGGGATCGAACCCACTACTTTGGCGTTACAAGCGCCGTGCTCTACCAGCTGAGCAGAGGACCACCATGATGCTGCCACCCCCGTGCTTCATGGTTGGGATGGTGTTCTTCAGCTTGCAAGCGTCCCCCTTTTTCCTCCAAACATAACGATGGTCATTATGGACAAACAGTTTTATTTTTGTTTCATCAGACCAGAGGACATTTCTCCAAAAAGTACGATCTTTGTCCCTATGTGCAGTTGCAAACCGTAGTATGGCTTTTTTATGGCGGTTTTGGAGCAGTGGCTTCTTCCTTGCTGAGCGGCCTTTTAGGTTATGTCGATATAGGACTCGTTTTACTGTGGATATAGATACATTTGTACCTGTTTCCTCCAGCATCTTCACAAGGTCCTTTGCTGTTGTTCTGGGATTGATTTGCACTTTGCACCAAAGTACGTTCATCTCTAGGAGACAGAACGCGTCTCCTTCCTGAGTGGTATGACGGCTGCGTGGTCCCATGGTGTTTATACTTGCGTACTATTGTTTATACAGATGAATGTGGTACCTTCAGGCATTTGGAAATTGCTCCCAAGGATGAACCAGACTTGTGTAGGTCAACAATTTTTTTTGGCTGATTTCTTTTGATTTTCCCATGATGTCAAGCAAAGAGGCACTGAGTTTGAAGGTAGGCCTTGAAATACATCCACAGGTACACCTCCAATTGACTTAAATTATGTCAATTAGCCTATCAGAAGCTTCTAAAGCCATTACATCATTTTCTGGAATTTTCCAAGCTGTTTAAAGGCACAGTCAACTTAGTGTATGTAAACTTCTGACCCACTGGAATTGTGATACAGTGAATTATAAGTGAAATAATCTGTCTGTAAATAGTTGTTGGAAAAATGACTTGTGTCATGCAAAAAGTAAATGTCCTAACCGACTTGCCAAAACTATAGTTTATTAACAAGACATTTGTGGAGTGGTTGAAAAACTTGTTTTAATGACTCAAACCTAAGTGTATGTAAACGTCTGACTTCAACTGTACACTACCAGTCAAAAGTTTGGACACACCTACTCATTCCAGGGTTTTTCTTCATTTGTACTATTTTCTACATTGTAGAATAATAGTGAAGACATCAAAACTATGAAATAACACTTATGGAATCATGTAGTAACCAAACAAGTGTTAAACAAATGAAAATATATTTTATATTTGAGATTCTTCAAAGTAGCCACCCTTTGCCTTGATGACAGCTTTGCACACTTGGCATTCTCTCAACCAGTTTCATGAGGTAGTCACCTGGAATGCATTTCAATTAACAGGTGTGCCTTGTTAATTTGTGGAATTTCTTTCCTTAATGCGTTTGAGCCAATCAGTTGTGTTGTGACAAGGTAGGGGTGTATACAGAAGATAGCCCTATTTGGTAAATGACCAAGTCCATATTATGGAGAGAATATTATGGAGAGAACAGCTCAAATAAGCAAAGAGAAACGACGGTCCATCATTACTTTAAGACTTGAAGGTCAGTCAATACGGAACATTTCAAGAACTTTGAAAGTTTCTTCAAGTGCAGTCGCAAAAACCATCAAGAGCTATGATGAAACTGCCTCTCATGAGGACCGCCACAGGAAAGGAAGACCCAGAGTTTCCTCTGCTGCAGAAGATAAGTACATTAGAGTTAACTGCACCTCAGATTGCAGCCCAAATAAATGCTTCACAGAGTTCAAGTAACAGACATCTCAACATCAACTGTTCAGAAGAGACTGTGTGAATCAGGCCTTCATGGTCGAATTGCTGAAAAGAAACCACTACTAAAGGACACCAATAATAAGAAGAGACTTGCTTGGGCCAAGAAACACAAGCAATGGACATTAGACCGGTAGAAATCTGTCCTTTAGTCTGATGAGTCCAAATTTCAGATTTTTGGGTCCAACCGCCGTGTCTTTATGAGATGCAGAGTAGGTGAACGGATGATCTCCCACCGTGAAGCATGGAGGAGGAGGTGTGATGGTGTGGGGGTGCTTTGCTGGTGACACTGTCAGTGATTTATCTAGAATTCAAGGCACACTTAACCAGCATGGCTACCACAGCATTCTGCAGCGATATGCCATCCCATCTGGTTTGCGCTTAGTGGAACTATCATTTGTTTTTCAACAGGACAATGACCCAGAACATACCTCCAGGCTGTGTAAGGGCTATTTGACCAAGAAGGAGAGTGATGGAGTGCTGCATCAGATGACCTGGCCTCCACAATCACCCGACCTCAACCCAGTTGAGATGGTTTGGGATAAGTTGGACCGCAGAGTGAAGGAAAAGCAGCCAACAAGTGCTCATCATATGTGGGAACTCCTTCAAGACTGTTGGAAAAGCATTCCTAATGAAGCTGGTTGAGAGAATCCCAAGAGTGTGCAAAGCTGTTATCAAGGCAAAGGGTGGCTACTTTGAAAAATATAAAATATATTTTGATTTGTTTAACACTTTCTTTGGTTACTACATGTTATTTTATAGTTTTGATGTTTTCACTATTATCCTACAATGTAGAAAATAGTAAAAATGAAGAAAAAACCTTGAATGAGTAGGCGTGTCCAAACTTTTGACTGGTACTGTATACATGGAGGAATCACTCTGAAGTGCGGCTGCTGTAATGTGTACCTTTCATACTGGTGATCACTGATCAGACAGTAGTGGTTTAAGAAAAGAGTTGAAGTCATGGTGGCATCTTATTAAGATGTTTTCTTTCCTTCATCTGAGTCGAGACTCCATCATCCACAATGTTACTTTAGCCTTTCCTTTTACTCCAAATATAATGTTCTCTTTGTTTACCTGTGGCCAGGTGCAGAGAGGGGGTGTGGCCTGAAGCAGGAGAAGGTACCAGGGGAGGAGTGGAGCAGCTGTGGGGGTGTGGCCGGGGAAACAACCTCACATGATCTGGAGGAGGTAGAGTCCACCAGCACTAGGAGAACCTCTGAGGTAGGTAGGGGGCTGACTAAACACCAGTGTTACAGAAAGTTAGTTTAGAACTATATTGTCCAGAACAGATTAGAACTGATTGTCAGGAAGAATGGGGGACCGTCATTTCCGCTCTATTCAGTCACTGTCAGTTTATCCATCATTTAGTCAGAATCGACTCATTCATTTCCTCTGGCAGTCCACAGAGGTCGGAGGTCAGAAGCTGGACAGCCTGCTGAAAGAGGAGGCTCTCCACAACACTGAGCTACAGGAGAGATGGGAGTTCTGCCTGGACGGTGAGTTGAGGAGTTTACAACAAACATAACACCGACAATAGCCTACCTTTAATAGCCTACCTTTAGGTTTATGAGAATGATAAGAAGAGTAACTTATAGTATGCTGTGTCATTCCAAATGTATTCATTATTACACATGGCAAGTCATCTGGAAACTGTAAGTACACATTTAGCTTTACAGTTATAGTTTCTACTATTTTCAATGCCTTAAATCATGTGTCAGACTTGTTCCTCAGATTGTCGAGTGTCTGTGGGTTTCGCTCCTTCCTTGTACTTGATTGATGAATTAATGTCAATAATTAGTAAGGATCTCCCCTCACCTAGTTGTCTAGGTCTTAATTGAAAGGAAAAAACTAAAACCAGCAGACACTAGGCCCTCTATGGAATGAGTTTGACACCCCTGCCTTAAACATTAATGCCTCATGTTCTTCAGAGGCCAATGGTTCGGACGTCTCGGGGCCCAGTAAGAGTTTCAGTGAGCAGGAGCTGCAGCAGTGCCAGGATGACTGGGGATCCGGTCTAGACCAGGGGCCTGAACCACCGGGCCCAGAGGGAGACCCAGGGGACCCCACTGACCCTCTCTACCGCCCTCGTTACAGCATGGAGGAACTGGGGGGCGGCTTTGAGAAGTCTGGTTACGGCGGTGGTGGTGATGGAGGCCATCGTCTAGACTTGGAAGGGCTGGATAGTCTTCCTGGTTCCTCGTCTCGTCTGGGGGCGCTGAGCTACGGAGCTGTGGGTCACTACCAGGTGGACCTGGTGGGGTCTGAGGGGGGAGACCATCACCATCGCTCCCACATGACTGGCCCCCATCAGAGCATGAGGGAGCGGATGGGGTCGCTAACGAGGTCCCCCCACCAGGAGGTGGGAGACCTGAACTGCCTGTTGATCAACGAGGAGGGGTACCTGCAGGACTCCAGTGTCTTGCACCCCAAACATGGTGTGCCGGACTTGGGTAACAGAGCCGGCCACAGGGGGCTAACCTCCATCCACTCTGGAAGCTCAGCCCACAACAACACAGAGAGCCTGTATGGTGCCGCTGATGACTTTGGACACTCTCTAAACCTCAGAGATCGTTCACAAGACAAGGTAACAGGAAGAGTGGGAGGAGGGGGGAGATGTCACGCCTGCAATCAGTGCACCATGACCTTCCCAGACTCTGGCTCCCTCAAGGCCCACAAACAAACACACAAAACAGAGAGAGGGTCGAGTACAGGGTCAGGGTCTGGGCCTCCGTACTCCTGCACCCAGTGTGGTAAAACCTTCACCCAGGCCTGCAACCTCAAGGTCCACCAGCGAGTCCACCAGGCCGAGGGACTCCACCTCTGCAGCCACTGCTGCAAAGGCTTCACCTCCTTCTCCGACCTGAAGAGGCACAAGTGCAGCCAGACGACAGACAAGCCTTACTGCTGCTCCATCTGTGGGAACAAGTTCAGTCGGCTCTGGAACCTCAAGCTGCATCAGCGCATTCACACGCAGGAGAAACCCCACCGCTGCACTATGTGCGACAAGAGCTTCACGCGGGTGGACATTTTGAAGGTACACCTGCGCATCCACACTGGGGAGAGACCGTACTGCTGTGCTGTGTGTGGACTCAACTTCAAAAGACTGGTCCATCTGAAGTCACACCAGCACAAACACAGGCCGGATTTCCAGGCCTGAGCGGTGGTCTAGAACAGTGGTTTCCAAACTGTGGGGCGTGGGGTCCCCCCCCCCCCAAAAAAAAAAAAAGTATATATATACTCAGTCCAGCTGTAAATGTACTCTTGAAAGTTGTAATAGTAGAATGCACAAGGTGCAATTTCGAAATTGGGTTGTGCATCATCAGTTCCTCTTGTCATGTTAGTCATTGCCTACCTTAGAGAGCTATTTATAACTTGTCCGAAATGTCCAGCTCAACTAGCCCATGTCAGCTAATGTTTATTTATTTTCATACTGAACAAAAATATAAACGCAACAATTTTACTGAGTTACAGTTCATATAAGAAAATCTGTTAATCTATAGATGTCACATGACTGGGCAGGGGCGCAGCCATGGGTTGGCCTGGGAGGGCATAGGCCCACCCACTGGGGAGCCAGGCCCAGCCAAACATAATTAGTTTTTCCCCACAAAAGGGCTTTATTACAGACAGAAATACTCCTCAGTTTCAACAGCTGTCCGGGTGGCTGGTCTCCGACAACCCCGCAGGTGAAGAAGCCGGAGGTGGAAGTCCTTTGCTAGGTGCAATATGGGGCTGTGGTCAACATACTGCAAACGTTGGTATGATGTTACTTAGAACCTTCCTTTTTATTCTTCTGCAGTGACACCATAGTCTGAATATTGATATTGGTCATTCCTATGTTGAGGACGTTACCTTTATCACCGCCTCGGCTTATGGTAGAGAAATTAACATTCAATTCTCTGGCAACAGCTCTAGTGGACATTCCTGCAGTCAGCATGTCAATTGCACACTCCCTCAACTTGAGACATCTGTGGCATTGTGTGTGACAAAACGGCACATTTTAGAGTGGCCTTTTATTGTCCCCAACAGAAGGTGTACCTGTGTAATGATCATGCTGTTTAATCAGCTTCTTGATATGCCACACCTGTCAGGTGGATGGATTTACTTGGCAAAGGAGAAATGCTCACTAACAGGGATGTGTGTGTGTGTATATATATATATACAGTGGGGAGAACAAGTATTTGATACACTACCGATTTTGCAGGTTTTCCTACTTACAAAGCATGTAGAGGTCTGTAATTTTTATCGTAGGTACACTTCAACTGTGAGAGACGGAATCTAAAACAAAAATCCAGAAAATCACATTGTATGATTTTTAAGTAATTAATTTGCATTTTATTGCATGCCATAAGTATTTGATCACCTAACAACCAGTAAGAATTCCGGCTCTCACAGACCTGTTAGTTTTTCTTTAAGAAGCCCTCCTTTTCTCCACTCATTACCTGTATTAACTGCACCTGTTTGAACTCATTACCTGTATAAAAGACCTGTCCACACACTCAATCTAACAGACTCCAACCTCTCCACAATGGCCAAGACCAGAGAGCTGTGTAAGGACATCAGGGATAAAATTGTAGACCTGCACAAGGCTGGGATGGGCTACAGGACAATAGGCAAGCAGCTTGGTGAGAAGGCAACAACTGTTGGCGCCATTATTAGAAAATGGAAGAAGTTCAAGATGACGGTCAATCACTCTCGGTCTAGGGCTCCATGCAAGATCTCACCTCGTGGGGCATCAATGATCATGAGGAAGGTGAGGGATCAGCCCAGAACTACACGGCAGGACCTGGTCAATCACCTGAAGAGAGCTGGGACCACAGTCTCAAAGAAAACCATTAGTAACACACTACGCCGTCATGGATTAAAATCCTGCAGCGCACGCAAGGTCCCCCTGCTCAAGCCAGCGCATGTCCAGGCCCGTCTGAAGTTTGCCAATGACCATCTGGATGATCCAGAGGAGGAATGGGAGAAGGTCATGTGGTCTGATGAGACACAAATATAGTTTTTTGGTCTAAACTCCACTCGCCGTGTTTGGAGAAAGAAGAAGGAAGAGTACAACCCCAAGAACACCATCCCAACCGTGAAGCATGGAGGTGGAAACATCATTCTTTGGGGATGCTTTTCTGCATAGGGGACAGGACGACTGCACCGTATTGAGGGGAGGATGGATGGGGCCATGTATCGCGAGATCTTGGCCAACAACCTCCTTCCCCCAGTAAGAGCATTGAAGATGGGTCGTGGCTGGGTCTTCCAGCAGGGCCAGGGCAACTAAGGAGTGGCTCCATAAGAAGCATCTCAAGGTCCTGGAGTGGCCTTGCCAGTCTCCAGACCTGAACCCAATAGAAGATCTTTGGAGGGAGCTGAAAGTCCGTATTGCCCAGCCACAGCCCCGAAACCTGAAGGATCTGGAGAAAGTATGGAGGAGTGGGCCAAAATCCCTGCTGCAGTGTGTGCAAACCTGGTCAAGACCTACAGGAAACGTATGATCTCTGTAATTGCAAACAAAGGTTTCTGTACCAAATAGTAAGTTCTGCTTTTCTGATGTATCAAATACTTATGTCATGCAATAAAATGCAAATTAATTACTTAAAAATCATACAATGTGATTTTCTGGATTTTTGTTTTAGATTCCGTCTCTCACAGTTTTTGTGTACCTATGATAAAAATTACAGACCTCTACATGCTTTGTAAGTAGGAAAACCTGCAAAATCGGCAGTGTATCAAATACTTGTTCTCCCCACTGTATATATATATATATATATATATATATAATAATAATAATAAACAAATTTGTGTACAACATTTGAGAAAAATAAGCTTTTGGTGCGTATTGAACATTTCTGGTATCTTTTATTTCAGCTCATGAAACATGGGACCAACACTTTAAGTGTTGCATTTACATTTTTGTTCAGTATAGGTTATTTAGCCCATAGATATTGTAGAAAATGTTTTGTCACTCAAATATCACATGAATACACAGACATGGCTAAATGTATAGAATTGCAAGAAAATTTGCTTTAAAACAGCAAAATTTCCTTTGCACCCCATGACAAAATCTGTAGAATTGCAGGAAATAAGCATTAAACCTGCAAAACTCTCTCCACCAACAAGAGCGGTGTGAACAGTTAGTGTCAGGAACAGTGCTAGTGCCCAGAAATAGACCTGGTGCGCACCGCGGGGTGTTCCCCAATCCTGGAAGGGGGTCGCCAAGTGAAAATGTTTGGGAACCCCATGTCTCGATTTTTATTTGACATTGAGAACAATTTTTTTGTGAGCTATTGTTTATTAATAAGGACATTGGAAAGATGAACTGTTGGAACCCTAACCATGTGTTGAATAAAAATTTATGCCTTATAGTTTCCCAAACTGGGTCCTGCCCCCCCCCCCCCACTAGCTACATTATCCACATTGATATGTTTGTAATTGTCAAAATTGATTTGTTGTCATATTTTGGTTGAAATGGTATAAGGTCAGTGGTGAAACGTAACAACTCGGCAAAACAGAAATCTATTTCCCACTTGTAATTGCGACTTAGAGGGTTGTTCAAGTAAAACTTCCCAGTCCAGCCCAGATTTTTACATACAAATAAAACAAAATAAAAACACATTTTAAAGGAACTACTTAAAACCCACAGAACATAAAAGTATGATGTGAGACGTGAACGCAGTACACCTACATTTAAACTTGTTTTTAGGCTTCTAATTTCTAATAAATAGAATGAATAACAATGACAACAGAATTTGTTTTAAAACAACTAACCAACTTTATTTTCTTTTTTCATTTGCTCAGTGTATCAAATACTTGTTCTCCCCACTGTGTGTGTGTATATATATATATATACAGTGGGGAAAAAAAGTATTTAGTCAGCCACCAATTGTGCAAGTTCTCCCACTTAAAAAGATGAGAGAGGCCTGTAATTTTCATCATAGGTACACGTCAACTATGACAGACAAATTGAGGAAAAAAAATCCAGAAAATCACATTGTAGGATATTTTATGAATTTATTTGCAAATGATGGTGGAAAATAAGTATTTGGTCACCTACAAACAAGCAAGATTTCTGGCTCTCACAGACCTGTAACTTCTTCTTTAAGAGGCTCCTCTGTCCTCCACTCATTACCTGTATTAATGGCACCTGTTTGAACTTGTTATCAGTATAAAAGACACCTGTCCACAACCTCAAACAGTCACACTCCAAACTCCACTATGGCCAAGACCAAAGAGCTGTCAAAGGACACCAGAAACAAAATTGTAGACCTGCACCAGGCTGGGAAGACTGAATCTGCAATAGGTAAGCAGCTTGGTTTGAAGAAATCAACTGTGGGAGCAATTATTAGGAAATGGAAGACATACAAGACCACTGATAATCTCCCTCGATCTGGGGCTCCACGCAAGTTCTCACCCCATGGGGTCAAAATGATCACAAGAACGGTGAGCAAAAATCCCAGAACCACACGGGGGGACCTAGTGAATGACCAGCAGAGAGCTGGGACCAAAGTAACAAAGCCTACCATCAGTAACACACTATGCCGCCAGGGACTCAAATCCTGCAGTGCCAGACGTGTCCCCCTGCTTAAGCCAGTACATGTCCAGGCCCGTCTGAAGTTTGCTAGAGTGCATTTGGATGATCCAGAAGAGGATTGGGAGAATGTCATATGGTCAGATGAAACCAAAATATAACTTTTTGGTAAAAACTCAACTTGTCGTGTTTGGAGGACAAAGAATGCTGAGTTGCACCATACCTACTGTGAAGCATGGGGGTGGAAACGTCATGCTTTGGGGCTGTTTTTCTGCAAAGGGACCAGGACGACTGATCCGTGTAAAGGAAATAATGAATGGGGCCATGTATCGTGAGATTTTGAGTGAAAACCTCCTTCCATCAGCAAGGGCATTGAAGATGAAAGGTGGCTGGGTCTTTCAGCATGACAATGTTCCCAAACACACCGCCCGGGCAACGAAGGAGTGGCTTCGTAAGAAGCATTTCAAGGTCCTGGAGTGGCCTAGCCAGTCTCCAGATCTCAACCCCATAGAAAATCTTTGGAGGGAGTTGAAAGTCCGTGTTGCCCAGCGACAGCCCCAAAACATCACTGCTCTAGAGGAGATCTGCATGGAGGAATGGGCCAAAATATCAGCAACAGTGTGTGAAAACCTTGTGAAGACTTACAGAAAACGTTTGACCTGTGTCATTGCCAACAAAGGGTATATAACAAAGTATTGAGAAACTTTTGTTATTGACCAAATACTTATTTTCCACCATCATTTGCAAATAAATTCATTAAAAATCCTACTATGTGATTTTCTGGAATTTTATTTCTCATTTTGTCTGTCATAGTTGACGTGTACCTATGATGAAAATTACAGGCCTCTCTCATCTTTTTAAGTGGGAGAACTTGCACAATTGGTGGCTGACTAAATACTTTTTTCCCCCACTGTATATATAAATAATAATAATAATAATAAACAAATTTGTGTACAACATTTGAGAAAAATAAGCTTTTGGTGCGTATTGAACATTTCTGGTATCTTTTATTTCAGCTCATGAAACATGGGACCAACACTTTAAGTGTTGCATTTACATTTTTGTTCAGTATAGGTTATTTAGCCCATAGATATTGTAGAAAATGTTTTGTCACTCAAATATCACATGAATACACAGACATGGCTAAATGTATAGAATTGCAAGAAAATTTGCTTTAAAACACCAAAATTTCCTTTGCACCCCATGACAAAATCTGTAGAATTGCAGGAAATAAGCATTAAACCTGCAAAACTCTCTCCACCAACAAGAGCGGTGTGAACAGTTAGTGTCAGGAACAGTGCTAGTGCCCAGAAATAGACCTGGTGCGCACCGCGGGGTGTTCCCCAATCCTGGAAGGGGGTCGCCAAGTGAAAATGTTTGGAAACCCCATGTCTCGATTTTTATTTGACATTGAGAACAATTTTTTTGTGAGCTATTGTTTATTAATAAGGACATTGGAAAGATGAACTGTTGGAACCCTAACCATGTGTTGAATAAAAATGTATGCCTTATAGTTTCCCAAACTGGGTCCTGCCCCCCCCCCCCACTAGCTACATTATCCACATTGATATGTTTGTAATTGTCAAAAATTGATTTGTTGTCATTTTGGTTGAAATGGTATAAGGTCAGTGGTGAAACGTAACAACTCGGCAAAAACAGAAATCTATTTCCCACTTGTAATTACGACTTAGAGGGTTGTTCAAGTAAAACTTCCCAGTCCAGCCCAGATTTTTACATACAAATAAAACAAAATAAAAACACATTTTTAAAGGAACTACTTAAAACCCACAGAACATAAAAAGTATGATGTGAGACGTGAACGCAGTACACCTACATTTAAACTTGTTTTTAGGCTTCTAATTTTCCTAATAAATAGAATGAATAACAAATGACAACCAGAATTTGTTTTAAAAACAACTAACCAACTCAATTCAACATTTATTTTCTTTTTTACATTTTGCTACATTCGGGGCATGATTCTTCAAAACAACAATAGCGACCTCAAATGTTTACAGAACCAAAGCGCTGATAATCAATACATCCCTGCTTCAATTAAACTAACACAGCTGGGTTTTGAATTCACAGCAAACAGAGTGAACTATTCCCTCATCACCATCTGACACCCTATTCCCTATATAGTGCTATATATTTCTAGTCCAAAGTAGTGCACTATATAGGGAATAGGGTCCCATTTAAGACTCGTCCCCTGCCCTCTTTCTGTCTTTGTGTACGGTCTTCAGGTGTTTCTTCAGATGGCCAGTCTGTTTGAAGTGCTTGCCACACTCAGAGCAGGTGTAGGGTTTCTCTCCGGTGTGGACCAGTTTGTGCCTCTTCAGATTATTGTAATCCAGAAATCCCTTCCCGCAGTACGAGCACCAGTGTCTCTTCTCCCCGTTGTGCCACCTCAGGTGAACATTCAGCTCCACACGCCTCTTGAACCGCTTCACACAGAGGGAACAGGCAAACGGTTTCTCTCCAGTATGAACGCGGAGATGGGTCTCCATGTCGCGCCGGATGACGAAGCGTTTGTCACAGATCGGGCAGACGAATGGGCGCACGCCGCTGTGGACCATCTGCTCGTGCTTGGTCAGGCCGAAGCCGTAGACGAAGGTCTTGTCACACTTCTGACACTGGTGGCCCCGCTGGTCGCCGTGGACGCGGGCGTGGCGGTTGAGGCCCTTGAGGTTGGGGAAGTCCTTGCCGCAGGCGGAGCAGGCGAACGGGCGCTTCCCCGTGTGGATGGAAGCATGGCTCTCTAAAGCGGCGGCGCTGCTCAGGACGCGACCGCAGTCTGCACACTGGTTCTTGGCAAAACGTTTCCGTGGAGACTGGGGAGACTGTTGTAGCAGGTACGGTCCTGGCGGCGACCATGTCGGTTGTGACTTGCGATACCGCTGCGCCTGCTGGAACGTCAGCGTGCACTGGGGGGACTTTTTGAATCCAGAGCGAGGGCTGACGGTGACAATGAAGGGGATAGGTTGAGGGGTGGAGGGAGACTGTTTCAAATTTAAAGCCGCCACGGCCGCCGAACGAGGTCTTCCGCGCCGAGGGGTGGTGGAAGTGACCTTGAACTGGTGAGGAGGGGTGGCAGGAGAAGGGTTCACGTTCGCCCCCGTAGCCTGGTGTGGGGAACCGTGAGGGCTGGTGCAACGCGGGCTGGTGCGGCGTGGGCTGAGGCTGGAGGTAGACGCAGCATGAGGGCTGGGGCTGTACGACCGGCGGCGCTGTGCGGTGGAAGGCAGAAACGGTGTCTGTGTGACCAGACCTCTAAGCTCTGACCTCTGACCTCGCTGTGATGCCTTGGTGACCTTTGACCTACTCCTCTTAGCCTGGGCTAGGGCCAAACCTCTCTGAGCCTGCACCCAGGTCATGTTTCTCTTCTTGGATTTGGACAAGCCTCCTCCTCCACCAATAGGTGACTGTCTAGTCGGGGAGGTCACATCAGTGTTAGCTCCTCCCTCTTCCTCACTGATGACTTGGTTACTACTTCCTTGTCCAGTAGACTCGTCGTCGGCCGTCACACCGTTAGCGGTGTCCTCTACTACATCCTGGTCAAGGTGTGATTCACTGGACTTTTCTCCTCCGTTCTGCATCACCTTTGAGTAGTCGTGGTCTAGAGGGGCGGTTCTATCTCCTCTGGGTTTCTTAGCAACCACGGGAGATGGCGTGCTGTCCTGTGGGCGGGGCCTCAAGCGGCGGCGGAGACCAGAGAGGATCGCTTCACGTCGACTTGACTTTCTGCCGGCGCCTAACTGGACAACAATCTCCTTTTTCTCGCCGGCGGGGGTCGTCTCCGTAGCGACAGACCTGGTTATCACAGCTTCCGTAGACATGGCAGGGAGGGGGGAAAGCCTCTCCCCCTCCTCGTCTTCCTCCAACCTCGGCGGGGTGCGTACTTGGGGTACTACTGACAATTGAGCTATAAACTGTGTCTTAGACATTTGACAGGGGCCAGAGGGTGAGGGTGTGGTTACAGCAGGGGCTGACGGCTGTACAGGGGCTTCATCAGATGTCTCTGGGACAGCAGGTGACTTCAGAGGTGGCACGGTGGAGGAGCGTTGCACATGCTCAGTGACCAACGACGCCTGCTTCTCAGGGGGGCCGGCAAGTTCTTCAGACAAAGTCAGCAACGGTGCGGACTGGACCGGTGTTGGCAGAGTTGCCGTGGCAACACCCGACTGCTCCAAAACTGTAGGCGGTTGCGGTTGTGTTGGTGGTGCGGCCGGTGGTCCATCGGGTACGGCTGTAGGCCTAGCTGGTTGTGTTGAGGGCACTACTATTGGACGAGCTACAGGTAGTACGTCTGTGTGAGACTGTGATGGTGGTGCTCGAGGAGGTTGGGGTGGACGAGGGGGTACGAGGCTGGGCTGTGTATCCTGAAGAGGGGTACTGGGTAACCCGGAGAGGACAGGTGGCGGGCGCTCTGACGCTGCTGCTGTCGCCGTTACGGTAGACTGGACCGCTGTGGTCGTTTGGACAGTTTCTTTTGACAGAGTAGTTACCGTGGACTGGACCATTACAGTCGACAGGACAGTTGATGTAGACTGGATAGTGGCTGGTAATTGAGGAGATGCTGTCAGGTGTAATGTTGATGGAGACTCTGCCACTGGTATTACCAGTGACTGCTGTTCTGTTCCAGGGGCTTGGTCCTGCCCTGCACTGCCCCTGGTAACCCCTCTGGTCCTGGGCTGGGATGGGCTGAGAGCCTGGGGGGCCTCCGGATCTCCCTGGAGGAGGGCCGCTGCGGCTCCTGCGGTAGGCTGGGTGGTGGGAGGCCTTTCCTGGGTGTAACGGTTGACCAGGGCCCTGACAGCTCCAGGAGGGACCAGGGCTACAGAGGGAGGGAGATTGACAGGACGGAGAAAGGTGGAAGGGATAGTGGAAAGAGGGAGACGTGGGAGAGAGACAGAGAAAGAACAAAAGACAGAGAGAATAACAGTGGAGAGATTAGAGATATTAGAGTTTGTTTCTCTTCCCAATACTCTTTAATACATTGTAATAACGTGTGATTCAGAAGCAGGTCTCCCTAGTTCCTACCTCTGCCTGGTAACTCTCTGAGAGGTTGTCTACGGACCAGTGTCGGGGGCTCTCCCCCCTCCTGCTTCAGCAGTATGTACCCAGGGGAGTAGTCATCAGAATAGTCTGCCTCCTGGGGGGATGGGCACAATGGCAACAACAACAGTTTGAGTATAAAGAAGTGGATGGACAGTTTAATAGGGTCAACAAAAACTCAGACGATGGCTGTGAGGTCAATATGTATGCTTAAATACACAAGTGATCCTAGGGAGCGCAGTGTGAAGGTTTTTATTTTCTCTGGGGTTGAAGGTTTTTCTTTTCTCTGGGGTCGACAACAACAGGTTGAGTATAGAGGTAGGTTAATTGGCAAGACCGCACACACAGATCTGGGACTCAGGCTAGAAGCCCAGTCTTACCCAGTCCACCTCCTGTTTGATCAGTACAAAGGCCATCTGTGGGTTGCCCTCCTCATCATAGGCCCCATGGTGCAGCCCTGTCCCCTGGTCCTCTGAGCGCAGGTGCTGCTCCCCAGCCCGCGGCAAAGCTTGCACTGTCAGAACTGGAAATACCAAATTAGCAGAGACAGTGGTTAGGAGATAAGGCAACCTAGAAATTTAGAGTTTAAGATTACAAACCAGCTGATGACATGACAGAACAACATCCCGTGTTGCAACGTGCTTAGCATTATTAAGGTTATCAGTAATTTGAATGCATAATATAGGCTACACCTCTCAAACATGTTCTGTTTAATATTGTAGTCTATACAAACTGTGAGTCTTCATATGTTCAGCTAAATAGCTAGCTATCAGAATGTGTGATCACTTTAACGTAGCTTAGCTAGCTTGTCCAGGGGTGTATTCATTCCACCGATTCTGTTGCAAAACGTTTCTTAAAAGGGAGCAAACGAAACGGGAGGGACCTACCTGAATTTGTACAATAGAAACTCATTTTAAACTCAAAACGAAAACTGGTGGAACGAATAAAACCGTTTTCTACTCACCACATTGAACGCCAATGTCACGTTTGCCGATATGTGAGGTTGTTTGACTAGAACCAGTCTCCGCGGTTTGGCTTTCACTTTCACCAGTCGATTTCTTCGCATTTTCAGGGGATCGAAGACTCGATTTGAGGTCCTCGTTCTCTTCTTTTATTCTGGATATTTCAGCTCGCAGTTCCTCAATAGTTGTTTCGAAAAGTGTCGTTGTCTCAATGACTGCTGTCTTCAGCACCTTCTCCATAACAGAGGCGAACTGGGTTTGAAAACCGTCTTTCGCCATGTTAGCGGCGGCCATCTTCAACTCTCACACACACATAAAAATGTATTCTTCTTCTATGGTAAATTAGTGATCGCACAATTTATTGTGCATCCCGCCACCTACTGTGCGGGATGGAAACAGGATTCCCCAAAAGCGTAACAAACTACTAAACATAAAAAATTATAATAAAGATGTGAAATCCTTAAGCCAAAAAAACTTTTCTGCAGCAGCCACAATAATGTCCAGTTTCTTAGACTTCTCTGAGACTTTAGGGTACGGTTTATAACTGGCAATGAAGCCACAAAATCAACCTTTTTAACACAGTATCTTTTGACTGGCAGCAAACATTTACTATGTGCTGTGGGGCATCCACTACCATATCTCCACTAGCATCAGTTGTTCTCAATTATTTTAATCGCCTTCGCATAGGAGATTCGATTGATTGCTCTAACTTTTGCCACCTCAATCTCGTTCACCCTTACCACAATTGCAACACCGTCGTCCTTCTACACACCGTTGAAACATGGCCAAATCCTTTACAATTCTTAGACTGCAGTGGTTTGGGGACGAAAGCTCTTACAGCGCATCTTACATAACCAAGCTTCACATGTGTAGGTGTAGGTGCTCTTTATCAAAAAACAACAGGACCGACAGACTTTATAATTTTTCTCTATTCACCCAGCAGGTCAGATGCTGGGCACCAACCACACCAGGAATTCTATTCAGCCTGAACATCTGTCGTCATCGCTGAGATGACTCCTTTGGGGTGTGGTCTACTCCGAAGGTTAAAGCACAAAATGTATGTTGTCCGGATTCATTTGAGGCCCACTGCAATCGTCTTCTGTACTTCATAAATACAGTTAGTCAAAATAAGACCACTCCTGGTCACTCTGACAGACTCCACTTTTCCCAGCGCACAGGCCTACTTCACAATTTTTTACACCTCAAACGGGTCTCCCACATATGCATCCTTACTCAACACACACATCTCAACAAGAAGCTAGTTACCACAGCCACACTCAGAAACCCCGCCTATTTCTACTATTTATCTTATTAACATTTTATTTTAAACCTAACCTTAACCCTAACCTCAACCACACTGCTTATATTATGCCTAACCCTAACCTTAAATTAACTAGTGAAAACCGAAGCCATTTTGATCAATCCTGTTCATTATATTCGAAATAATATTATAGTTACCACAGCCACAAAGTCAGAAGGCCCGCCTACTGATGACGCGTATTCTGGTTCGCGGGAAACGACTCATTTTCGAAATAGAAAATCTCGAGTTCAAGTTTGAGGACCAAATAATAACTAAATACATTCGGGAACAAGAATCGGCAACATTTGCTACTCTCATCTAAAATGAGCTAGCTAGCTAGCATAAGGGATTCCATTCCATGCACAGAGGAGTTATTCTATTTGATAGAGCAACGTTGTTAGTTTCATTCTTATAGCAAAATATCATATTCTTGACCTTCAACAGATGCACAGCCTTTGGCAGGGGAAAAAAACTCAGTTGGGAGTATAAAAGTCTCCCATTCAATGGTGTTCCGTTTCAAGATGTGGCCACAAAAGACGTCTGAATGGCACCAGGTGAAAGACAGACAAACTAAAGCCAAAGAGAAATATGCTGCTGAAATGGCAGTAAGTTCAAAGACAGATCATTGTAATTTATACCATACACTTTTACAACATGAATTTCATTTTAATAATGTTGAATTACTAACTAGCAATGGAATGTTCCTCAATAAAATTGAAGATGGGACTTTAAACGGGTGTCCTAACTCTGTGGTCGCTAAAGATCCAATGGCACTTATTGCAAGGGTACGTCATGATGAGTACCATTGTAGGTGTAATGTGTTTATCAAACTTTATTCCTATCAGGACCATGTATGTAAAGTGTATGAATAATGTATATTTAACAAAATATCTGTAAAAAACTAAAATAAAAAACGAATGTAAAGCAGTTAATTTTGTCCTCCGAAGAGGGAGGTGGATGGGCCAATAAAATAAATAAAATTACAAGTATGTAGGTTAGGATGGTGAGTTTCCCCTTAAACTGTAAAGAGCTTTGTGTGTCTAGAAAAGTGCTATGTAAGCCCAATCAATTATTATTATAATTAAATGTTTTGCCATCTTCGGTAGCTTGAAGACCATGCCTTTCTCAAAAGATGTAAACTGGTACAAAATATCAAAAAAAGGTGGACTGCAAGGCTGTGATACGTAAATAAAGAAATTACTATAGTAAGTGCCTATGTGCCAAATACAGTCACAGGGTTAAAGTGTTCATCTTAAATCTGCCATAAATCTGCCAATTTCAAACATTTACATTTATCTGAGCATTTCTGTGAAACTGTGTACGTTTTACTTGTGGATTACGTGTGGGCTAAAAAAAGATGTGTCCATTTGGTTGTCTACATGCCATTTTAAAAACAATGCAGATAATGCAGTAACCCTATTTTGGGTTAAAACACGCCACTATGAGTTAGGGCGAACGTTATGAGCTTGCTTGCAAGCTGAGTTTGAATAAGACATCCAATTACCACGTTGCATTTAGAAAGGTTGGTTTTATTATAGCTAATAAATAACAAAATCATTGATGGATCGATAGTGATGACACAGGCCGGTTCGCATGTGTCATCACACTCCCTCATCTGATTGGTCGAGTAGGCGGGCCTTCTGACTTCGTGGCTGTGGTAACTAGTGACAACCAAAAGTATTCATCCCCCTTGGCGTTTTACCTACTTTGTTGCATTACAACCTGTAATTTAAATGGACTTTTATTTGGATTTCATGTAATGGACATACACAAAATAGTCCATATTGGTGAAGTGAAATGAAAAACATAACTTGTTTCAAAAAAATTCTAAAAAATAAATAACGGAAAAGTGGTGCATGCATATGTATTCACCCCCTTTGCTATGAAGCCCCTAAATAAGATCTGGTACAACCAATTACCTTCAGAAGTCACATAATTAGTTAGATTGCACACAGGTGGACTTTATTTAAGTGTCACATGATCTCAGTATATATACACCTGTTCTGAAAAGCCCCAGAGTCTGCAACACCAAGGGGCACCACCAAGCAAGCGGCACCATGAAGACCAAGGAGCTCTCCAAACAGGTCAGGGACAAAGTTGTGGTGAAGTACAGATCAGGGTTGGGTTATAAAAAAAATATCAGAAACTTTGAACATCCCACGGAGCACCATTAAATCCATTATTAAAAAATGGAAAGAATATGGCATCACAACAAACCTGCCAAGAGAGGGCCACCCACCAAAACTTACAGACCAGGCATGGAGGGCATTAATCAGAGAGGCAACAAAGAGACCAAAGATAACCCTGAAAGAGCTGCAAAGCTCCACAGCAGAGATTGGAGTATCTGTCCATAGGACCACATTAAACAGTACACTCCACAGAGCTGGGCTTTACAGAAGAGTGGCCAGAAAAAAGCCATCGCTTAAAGTAAAAAATAAGCAAACATGTTTAGTGTTCGCCAAAAGGCATGTGGGAGACTCCCCAAACATATGGAAGAAGGTACTCTGGTCAGATGTGACTAAAATTGAGCTTTTTGGCCATCAAGGAAATCACCATGTCTGGCGCAAACCCAACACCTCTCATCACCCCGAGAACACCATCCCCATACTGAAGCATGGTGGTGGCAGCATCATGCTGTGGGGATGTTTTTCCATCGGCAGGGACTGGGAAACTGGTCAGAATTGAAGGAATGATGGATGGCGCTAAATACAGGGAAATTCTTCCAGAGATTTGAGACTGGGATGGAGGTTCACCTTCCAGCAGGACGATGACCCTAAGCATACTGCTAAAGCAACACTCGAGTGGTTTATGGGGAAACATTTAAATGTCTTGGAATGGCCTAGTCAAAGCCCAGACCTCAATCCAATTGAGAATCTGTGATATGACTTAAAGATTGCTGTACACCAGCGGAACCCATCCAACTTGAAGGAGCTGGAGCAGTTTGCCTTGAATAATGTGCAAAAATGGCTAGATGTGCCAAGCTTATAGAAAGATACCCCAAGAGACTTGTAGCTGTAATTGCTGCAAAAGGTGACTCTACAAAGTATTGACTTTGGGGGGTTGAATAGTTATGCACGCTCAAGTTGTGTTTTTTTGTCTTATTTCCTGTTTGTTTCACAATAAAAAATATTTTGCATCTTCAAAGTGGTAGGCATGTTGTGTAAATCAAATGATACAACCCCCCAAAAAATCCATTTGAATTCCAGGTTGTAAGGCAACAAAATAGAAAAAATGCCAAGGGGGCTGAATACCTTCGCAAGCCACTGTATGTCACGGTTGTGCTGTATGGATTGGTGGCCCTGTGAGATCAACGTGCATGGTGAGGAAATGTTTCAGAAAGGTGTTGCTAGTTAAATCAAATGTTTTTTGTAAAATCAAATCAAATTGTATTCCTCACATGCACCGTAAACAACAGGTGTAGCCTTACAGTGACTTGCATTCTTACGGGCCGTTCCCAACAACACAGAGAGAAAGAAAATAGAGAAATAATAGAAAAGTAAAACACATAATAATAAAAGTAATAATAGATACACAATGAGTAACGATAACTTGGCTATAAACAGGGGGTACCATTCCAGTACCAAGTTGATGTGCAGGTATATGAAGTAGTTGAGGTAGATATGTACAGGAATAAAGTGATTTAACAGGACAGAAAATGAACAGTAGCAGCGTATGTGATGAGTCAAAGTTAGTGCAAAAAGGGTCAATGCAGAGAGTCTGGGTAGCTATTTGGTTAACTTAACTATTTAACACTTTTATGGCTTGGGGGTAGAAGCTGATGCATCGGTACAGCTTGCCATGCTGTAGCAGAAAGTACAGTCTAAATGACTTGGGTGGCTGGAGTCTTTAACAATTTTTAGGGCCTTCCTCTGACACTGCCTGGTATAGATGTCTTGGATGGCAGGGAACTCGGCCCCAGTGACATACTGGGAAGTACACACTACCCGCTGTAGCGCTTTGTGGTTGGATGTCAAGCAGTTGCCATACCAAGTGGCGATGCTGCCAGTCAAGGTGCTCTCAATGGTGCAGCTGTAGAACGTCCTGAGGGGGAAGAGATGTTGTCATGCCCTCTTCACGACTGTGTTGGTGTGTGTGGACCATGAAACATCCTTAGTGATGTGGACACCGAAGAACTTGAAGCTCTCGACACGGTCAACTACAGCCCCGTCGATGTGGATGGGGGCATGCTCGGCCCTCCATTTCCTGTAGTCCACGATCAGCTCCTTTGTCTTGCTGAGATGTTGTTTTCTTGGGACCACACTGCCAGGTCTCTGACCTCCTCCCTATACGCTGTCTCATCCTCGTCGTAGAGTCGTGTGCGGCCACACAGTCGTGGGTGAACAGGGAGTACAGGGGACTACGCACGCACCCCTGAGGAGCCCCCTTGTTGTAGGTCAGTGTGGTAGATGTTGTTGCCCATCTTCACCACCTGGGGGCACCCCGTCAGGAAATCCAGGATCCAGTTGCAGAGGGAGGTTTTCAGTCCCAGGGTCCTTAATTTAGTGATGACCTTGGAGGGCACTATGGTGTTGAACGCTGAACTGTAGTCAATGAACAGCATTCTCACATAGGTGTTCCTCTTGTCCAGGTGGGAGAGGGCAGTGTGGAGTGCAATAGAGATTGCGTCATCTGTGGATCTGTTGGGGCGGTATGCAAATTGGAGTGGGTCCAGGGTGTCTGGGATGATGGTGTTGATGTGAGCCATGGCAGGCCTTTCAAAGCATTTCATGGCTACAGATGTGCGTGCTACGGGGCAATAGTCATTTATACAGGTTACCTTGGCGTTCTAGTACAAGTGAAACCCTTTGTTTGCGCCAAATCCTACAGAAGTGTGGGAGAGAGAATTATTACTTCACCTCGTCTAAGGTAAAAAATATAGTTGTAAGCTATAAACATTGTTAAAAACATTTTTACCAATGGAATTAAGGAATTATATATTAACTGAATATGTGGGGAGCAAAATATTTATTGTACAAAAAGACCAACCATAAAATTATGGCAATTCAGGTAACATTTTCCATTCAGGTAACATAAGATATTATATACAGGAATAACATGTATGGTTACAGTATGGTGAGTGACTGGGGGAGAAGCCAAGCTGGATGAACAGAAAATATTATACTTATTCTAAAGGTTGGCTTTAGTCTGACTACCCAGCCACATGACTCCGGCCAAAAGACACGCCCACTAACCTTTCTTCTGGAGCGATTGATAGAGCCGTCAGCTAGGTTGGCATGATCATTATGACGGACAATTCAGACAGTCCATCATGTAAGGAATACATTCTCATTCAACACATGGTTAGATTTCCAACAGTTCATATTTTCAATGTCCTTATTAAAAAACAATTGATCACATAAAAAAAACTAAAAATATTCTAATAAAATGTGATATATATACACTGAATATATATTTTTTAAAACAGATTCAGTCCACGAGATCCGGCCTGTGTTTGCGCTGGTGTGACTTCAAATGGTCCAGCTGTTTGAAGCGGAGTCCACAGACAGCACAGCAGTACGGTCTCTCCCCAGTGTGGATGCGCTGGTGCACCTTCAAATTGTCCGCCCGAGCGAAGCTCTTGTCACACATAGTGCAGCGGTGGGGTTTCTCCTGCGTGTGAATGCGCTGATGCAGCTTGAGGTTCCAGAGCCGACTGAATTTGTTGCCGCAGATGGAGCAGCAGTAGGGCTTGTCTGTCGTCTGGCTGCACTTGTGCCTCTTCAGGTCGGAGAAGGAGGTGAAGCCCTTGCCACAGTGGCTGCAGAGGTGGAGTCCCTCGGCCTGGTGGACCTTGAGGTTGCATGCCTGGGTGAAGGTCTTACCGCACTGGGTGCGGGAGTATGGATGCCCAGACCCTGACCCTGCACTCAACCCTCTTCCCGTTTCGTGTTTCTGCTTGTGGGATTGATTGCAGGCGTGACGCCTCCCCCCTCCTCCTCCTCCTTTTACCTGCTCTTGTGAACGATCTCTGAGATTTAGAGAGTGTCCAAAGTCGTCAGCGGCGCCATACAGGCACTCTGTGTTGTTGTTGTGGTCTGAGCTTCCAGAGTGGATGGAGGTTAGCACCCTGTGGCCGGCTCTGCTACCCGCTTCTGGCATACCGTGTTTGGGGTACAAGACACTGGAGTCCTGCAGGTACCCCTCCTCGTTGATCAACAGGCAGTTCAGGTCTCCCACCTCCGGGTGGGAGGATGGCGTTAGCGATCCCACCTGCTCCCTCCGGCCCCGATGTGGGTCAGTCATGTGGGAGCGATGGTGATGGTCTCCCCCCTCAGACCCCCCCAGGTTCACCTGGTAGTGACCCACTGCTCCGTAGCTCAGCGCCCCCAGACGAGTCGGAGAACCAGGAAGCCTATCCAGCCCTTCTATGTCTAGAAGATGGCCGCCACCACCACCACCGTCGCAACCAGACTTCTCAAAGCCGCCCCCCAGTTCCTTCATGCTGTAACAAGGGCGGTAGAGAGGGTTGGTGGGGTCCCCTGGGTCTCCCTCTGGGCCCGGAGGTTTAGGCCCCTGGTCTAGAACAGACCCCCAGTCATCCTGGCACTGCTGCAGCTTTTGCTCACTGAAACTCTTACTGGGCCCCAAGACGTCCGAACCGTCGGCCCCTGAAGAACACAGGAGACATGAGGTGTTAGAAGCATTAGAGGCATTGGCAATAGTTCTCATCATCATAGAAATGGTCTGTTATGTTTGTTGTAAACTCCTGAACTCACCGTCCAGGCAGACACCCCATCTCTCCCGTAGCTCAGTGTTGTGGAGAGCCTCCTCTTTCAGCAGGCTATCCAGCTTCTGATCTCCGACCTCTGTGGACTGGAAGAGGAAATTAATGAGTTGATTCTGACTAAATGATGGATAAACTGACAGTGAATGAATAGAGCAGACATGACGGTCCCCTATTCCTCCTGACAGACAATCAGTTCTAATCTGTTCTGGACAATATAGTTCTAAACTAACTTTCTGTAACACTGGTGTTTAGTCAGTCCCTTACCTACCTCAGAGGTTCTCCTAGTGCTGGTGGCCTCTGCCTCCTTCACATCATGGAAGGCTGTTTCCCCGGCCACGCCCCCACAGCTGCTCCACTCCTCCCCTGGTACCTTCTCCTGCTTCAGGCCACACCCCCTCTCCGCATCTAGCCACAGGTAAACAAAGAGAAGATTTTATTTGGAGTAAAAGAAAAAAGGGCCAAGATTGAAACGACAGACTGAGCAGATCACAGTCGAAAAATGGCATCAGGTACAGACCTACGTCTCCTGAATACAAACCCATTCAAATTACCTATAAATGTAATTGCTCTTTTGAGAACCTTGAGCCGGTTAGCAGTATTGAGCGCTCTGAAGTTGAGCCAGACCAGGGTGAAGTACCGCTCTGAAGTTGAGCCAGACCAGGGTGAAGTACCGCTCTGAAGTTGAGCCAGACCAGGGTGAAATACCGCCCTGAAGTTGAGCCAGACCAGGGTGAAGTACCGCTCTGAAGTTGAGCCAGACCAGGGAGAAGTACCGCTCTGAAGTTGAGCCAGACCAGGGTGAAGTACCGCTCTGAAGTTGGGCCAAACCAGGAAGAAGTACCTGTGGCGACAGGTGTGGTACACACTTCCAGTGGTTGCCATGGGAGTCCTTTTAGAGATGATTTTGGACCAGTAGGAGCGAGATTTTTACAAAAAGTGGATTCCTGCTTTTGGCCGACCCGTGTGTTGTTTCAGGTTGGGTAAAGGACAAACTGGGAGCGGTTACATCTGTGAAAGTTTTGAGAAGTTGAATTGTTTTGAGTTTTTGTGCATCCTCCACCCAAAGGCAGGGGACGCTGCGCATCACACGTCTCGGGGCTCAACTTGTGTCACACTTTACTCTCCGGAGCAGGGCACCGCTCAAAGGAGTGATCAGTGGGGTCGCGTTGAGTGTAGAGGTGGATCAGATGAAAAGGAATACTCCTAGTGTTTGTGACGCCGGCCGTTTGGTGAGTCGTAGACCCGGTGGCAATGGCGAGACTGATAATACCCTGTGTGTCTTGTTGAGCTTTGAAACAGAGTTTCTACCTGATAAGGTCAGGTTAGGTTATATTTTATATTCTGTGAGGGCCTATGTTCCGAACACACTACGGTGCTTTAAGTGTCAAGGATCTGGACATGTTGCAGCAGTGTGTAGAAGGGAGATGCCACGATGTGGAAGTGTGCAGGAGGGTATAGCCAGAGTACAGAAAGGACAGAGAAAGCACTGTGTTAACTGTGGGGGGGGGGGGGGCATGCAGCTGGGGATCCCAAGTGCCCTGTAAGAGAGAGACAGGTTGAGATTGCCAGAGTTCGAGTGGGGCAGAATGTTTCCTATACTGAGGCAGTGAAGAGAGTAGAGGATAGCCCAAGGGTTAGTGATTCGACTGGGAGCCCCCCAGTGAGTAAGCTTGAAGAGAGAGATCCAGAGAGGATGAGTTTTAGTACGGTGGAATTTCTTGCATTTATAGCCATGATGATCAACTGACGTGTACATTTTAGTCATTTAGCAGACGCTCTTATCCAGAGCGATTTACAGTTAGTGAGTGCATACATTTTCATACTGCCCCCCCGTGGGAAACGAACCCACAACCCTGGCGTTGCAAGCACCATGCTCTACCAACTGAGCTACACAGGGCCCAAGGTGTAGGATCTTTTAGGGCCAAAGTAGTGGGATTGGTGGTGGGTTTCTGGAGATGGTGTATAGGTTAGATTTAACGTAAGATATTCCCCTTCCTCTTGTCCCTTGTTTTGTGATCAAAATGTGCTGCGAAAGGCAGTAATCTAGTCTGCCGGAAAAACACACGAAGAAGATGAAAAGGAACAGAAAGCAACATTGTTCATTATGCAGTCTCCTCGCATCAGTGCAGATGAAGGAAATAAATCATCTTATTCAAATGCCACCACCAATTCAACTGTCTGATCAGTGATCACCAAAGTATGGAAGGACAGTTACAGCAGCCCCACTAGAGAGTTATTCCTTCATATATACACTGAGTGTACAAAACATTAGGAACACCTGATCCTTCCATGACCAGGTGAAATTTTCCATACGCACAAAAAGCTTATTTCTCTCAAATTTTGTGCACAACTTTGTTTACATCCCTGTTAGTGAGCATATATTTTTTGCCAAGATAATCCATCCAACTGACAGGTGTGGCATATCAAGAAGCTGATTAAACAGTATGATCATTACACAGGTGCACCTTGTGTTGGGGACAATAAAAGGCCAGTCTAAAATGTGCAGTTTTGTCACACAACACAATGCCACAGATGTCTCAAGTTTTGAGGGAGTGTGCAATTGAAATTCTGACTGCAGGAATGTCCACCAGAGCTATTGCCAGATAATGTTATGTTCATTTCTCTACCATAAGCCACCTTCAATGTTGTTTTAGAGAATGTGGCAGTAAGTCCAACCGGCCTCACAACCGCAGACCATGTGTCACCACGCCAGCCCAGGACCTCCGCATCCGGCTTCTTCACCTGCAGAATCATCTGAGACCAGCCACCCTGACAGCTGATGAAACTGTGGGTTTGCACAACCGAAGGATTTCTGCACAAACTGTCAGAAACTGTCTCAGGGAAGCTCATCTGCGTGCTCGCGGTGGGGTTATGGTATGGGCAGGCATAAGCTACGGATAACGAACACAATTGCATTTTATCGATGGCAATTTGAATGCACAGAGATACTGTGACGAGATCCTGAGGCCCATTGTTGTGCCATTCATCTGCCGCCATCACCTCATGTTACAGCATGATAATGAACAGCCCCATGTCGCAAGGATCTGTACACAATTACTGGAAGCTGAAAATGTCCCAGTTCTTCCATGGCCTGCATACTCACCATGCATGTCACCCATTGAGCATGTTTGAGATGCTCTGGATCGACGTGTACAACAGTGTTCCTGTTCCTGCCAATATCCAGCAAATTCGCACAGCCATTGAAGAGGAGTGGGACAACATTCCACAGGCAACAATCAACAGCCTGATCAACTTTATGAGAAGGTGGTGTGTCGCACTGCATGAGGTAAATGGTGGTCACACCAGATACTGACTGGTTTTCTGATCCACGCCCCTACCATTTTTTAAATGGTATCTGTGACCAAAAGATGCATATCTGTATTCCCGGTCATTTGAAATACATAGATTAGGGCCTAATGAATTTATTTAAATTGACTGATTTCCTTATATGAACTGTAACTCAGTAAAATCTTTGAAATTGTTACATGTTGCGTTTATATTTTGTTCAGTGTAGATATATTGTCTTTAGAGGTCTCTCTCTCTCCTCACCTGTCTGTGAGGTTCCAGAGCTTCTCTCCTCGGCTTCCTCGCCAGCTCTCCCACAGTCCGCACATTTCCCCCTCCGGTCTCCCTTGCCGTCCCTCTCCCTGCGTCTGTTCTCCGACCACTGCAGACGCTTCTTCAGCGACTCGACCTGCTCCCGGCTGCGGGACACCTCCTCCAGGAAACTATCCTCTACCAGCCTGGTGATCTCATATATGGCTGACTTTAGGACCGTCTCCATGACTCCCGAGAGCTGGGCCTGGAAGCTTACGATGGCTTCGGACATCATGGCAAACTGTCTGAGTAGCTAGCTACAGTTAAGAGTTCGTAAAGTTTACCTACTTTTTTTCAGGTGGGTCAGTGTTACGATCCAGTCTATCAAAAGGATAGAAAGCTAGCTAATTAGCTAACGTTAGCAGCAAAGATACTAGTAACTAAACCTCTTTTGTCTCTATCAATAACTGTCCTATTGCAATTTTTAATCATTTTGAGATATAAGCTGTAGCATTTACTGTATATGAGGCTATTCGAACAAATATAAATACCAGGGGTATTGAGAGAAATTAAGGCTATGGTAGTTGGCTTGCTACTTAGCTAGCCAGGCAACACAAAGAAAATCCACAAAAACTTCCGTAAACAAACCAACGGGTCGGGTAGTGGGACAATCTACATTGGAAAGCTCCTCACTGGAGTCTTCGATGAGGTTTAACGGCGGTTGGCATCCAATAAATGTTGCATTACCGCCACCTACTAGACTGGAGTATAACTCCCTTATACTTTGCTTTTAAAAAATACAACAAATACCCTACCATCTAACACTACACTCACAATTTGTTTTTTATATATATATAATAATAACTACAATACTCCACTATTTAAAATAATTTATTCCTACTTCAGGCCAACAGCCTGAAAGGATGGGACACCACCACTTAACATACCCTGTAACTCTTCTGATGTCAAGTCTCGCACACCCAAATACCTCTCTGCAGCTGCCACCACAACCTCTATTTTCTGCAACTTACGTTCCATCCCTGCAGTACAGTTGATAACCATTGCTATGAATGCTAAAAATCCAATCTTACTAAAACATACAGTTGAAGTCGGAAGTTTACATACACTTAGGTTGGAGTCATTAAAACTTGTTTTTCAACCACTCCACATATTTCTTGTTAACAAACTATAGTTTTGGCAAGTCTAACCGACTTGACACATGTAAATGTTCCAACAATTGTTTACAGACAGATTATTTCACTTATAATTCACTGTATCACAATTCCAGTGGGTCAGAAGTTTACATACACTAAGTTGACTGTGCCTTTAAACAGCTTGGAAAATTCCAGAAAATGATGTCATGGCTTTAGAAGCTAATTGACATCATTTGAGTCAATTGGAGGTGTACCTGTGGATGTATTTCAAGGCCTACCTTCAAACTCAGTGCCTCTTTGCTTGACATCATGGGAAAATCAAAAGAAATCAGCCAAGACCTCAGAAAAATAATTGTAGACCTCCACAAGTCTGGTTCATCCTTGGGAGCAATTTCCAAATGCCTGAAGTTACCACGTTCATCTGTTCAAACAATAGTACGCAAGTATAAACACCATGGGACCAAGTAGCCGTCATATCGCTCAGGAAGGAGACACGTTCTGTCTCCTAGAGATGAACGTACTTTGGTGCAAATCAATCCCAGAACAACAGCAAAGGACCTTGTGAAGATGCTGGAGGAAACAGGTACAAAATGATCTATATCCACAGTAAAATGACTCCTATATCGACAACCTGAAAGGCTGCTCAGCAAGGAAAAAGCCACTACTCCAAAACTGCCATAAAAAAGACTTTTTGGAGAAATGTCCCCTGGTCTGATAAAACAAAAATAGAACTGTTTGGCCAAGGGGGTGGCTTGCAAGCTGAAGAACACCATCCCAACTGTGAAGCACAGTGGTGGCAGTATCATGCTGTGGGGGTGCTTTGCTGCAGGAGGGACTGGTGCACTTCACAA